GATATTTGCAAGTGCATATTGCTCGTATGTGATGTATGATGATTGTAAATGTGAACCATGTTTAAATATTGTGAGTGCATAATGAATATATGCGATTAACATGATGAATGCATGAGTATGTTTGTAAACATGTGTGCATATCAAGAGTGTCATGAGTCATGTTGCATGTGAAGCATCATGGTATGCATTCTTGTGTGTCTGATTCCTCAGAGAATCTGCAGAACCTCGTGTGCCCTTGTGGGGTGTGAGCGATGGTTATTTATTGATCCCTCAGAGGATTTGCAGAACCTCGTATGTTGCGATGGTTATATTGATTCCTCGGAGAATCTGCAGAACCTCGTGTGCCCTTGTGGGGTGTGAGCGATGGTTATTTATTGATTCCTCGGAGAATTTGCAGAACCTCGTGTGCCCTTGTGGGGTGTGAGCGATGGTTATTTATTGATCCCTCGGAGGATTTGCAGAACCTCGTATGTTGCGATGGTTATATTGATTTCTCGGAGAATCTATAGAACCTCGTGTGCCCTTGTGGGGTGTGAGCGATGGTTATTTTTGGTTCTTCAATTGAACCTGCTGAAATGAGTCAGTACCGCATTTGCATCTGCATAGAGTCGTGTGTCAGTCTCTATGAGTTGCATGTTGTCATCTTCATAGGATGCATTGGTGAAATAAACATGAATGTAGATGTTTATGTGAATTAGCAATGGAGTAAACATGTTGTGTGTGTTTATTGAGTTAATGTGTATGTTATGTGAATTAATGCGAATTGCGGTAAATGAAACATAATGTATATGTGATTGTTAGGAGAAGTGTGCATATGTGTGTGTGTGTGTGTGTGTGTGTGTGTATATATATATATATATATATATATATATATATATATATATATATATATATATATATATATATATATATATATATATATATATATATATATATATATATATATATATATATATATATATATATATATATATATATATATATATATATATATATATACGATATGTTGATGTGGGAGTGGTGAGTGTGTGAATTGATTGAGAAATGTGGCATATATGTATTTTATGATTGTTTATATACATAATTATATGCATTGTTATTATGGTAATATTTCTCACCCTTCTGCTGTTTCATGATGCTCTATGAGGCATTGCAGATTAGGATTATTGGAGGTGTATTTTGGAGTATAGCTCATTTTCTCTTGAGTCGGTCGCTCTGATATGTAACGTCGGGTAGCTAGGCTTGTAGAGTATCTTCGTGATACATTATACATATGTAATAGTTGATGATGTTTGGTAAACTGTGATTGGTGTTATGAACAACCTAATGACGTGTACTTGTATTTTATCATGTCTTAAGTAATTCAATGTTTTAGTCTTCCGCTTTAACAGAAAACATGAATATGCTTATTTTAAGAACCATGCGTTTATTCTTTTTAGTTGAGATTTACCCCTTTTGAATTATTTCTTTATAAACATTAATATTCATGTGGTTGTTTCGTGAGTAATGTGACACACTTCTTTTATACCATGAAATAAATATACTCTTATGGAATTTTTAATTCGTGCCTAAATGATTTAATTGTGTTATTTGGGGTATAGAAAGTGGGTGTTACACCTTCTGCTTTTAAGAGGTTTTCTCGATATTATCCTCTCCCGTTCATTCGGGAAGAATAAAGTTCGGTGGCGACTCTGTCGAACCGTATTTTCGCGCCCTTTCGTGCGAGGGTCGTATGTTCAAATGAATTTTCGAGGTGCAACAGTGAGGTATTTTGATGTGCTACGGTTCTCGAGTATAATTGATCCTATTGATGGGGACCTATGGAGGGTTGATGGTCTAGTGTCCATTGAGCTGTGATGATTGGTACCACATGCATTAAGTCTTGTTGCATTTGCATTTATGAGATGATTTTTGAGTAAATTATGATGTTATGGACTTTGATGTCCATTGATGAATATGATGATGTTGAATATGAAAATGACGCCATTTGATGTGATGATTTCCTACATTGATTATTATGAATCGTTTTACTCATCCTGTATGTTTGAATGTTGTGTCCACGTGGGTAACGTGCAGATGACCAGGTTTAGCCGTGGATGCCGTCGAGGGCTTTTTGAAGATTTTGGGTCGTTGGCCATAATGGTTGACTTAGAGGGTTATGCTCTGATAGTGTAACATCGGGTTGGGGTCTCTGAGTCAAATCTTATTTTAATTGATTTGGTTATTTTGATTATGTTCTCGTATAAGGAAAACTTTGGATTATGCCTTTTGAGTTCCACTGTAATTTTTGATATCTTTTGAGAAAACCTGTTGTTTACGGAGCTTTGACTTATATTTGATTTATTGGGAAACATACGCCCTTTGAGGTGATATTTATTGAATTTAATATTTTACTCTTATAAATGTGAATATTTTGCCTTTTATTTTGTGGGGTATAAAAAGGTGTTACATTAGCATCCTAAGTATCTATAGTACTCTACAGGAACCTCTTGTTTGTATCTGTGTTATCTTAGTATTTGCTTGCTAAGAAAAATGTGCTAAGAGAAAGATTTAAGATATTTACTAAGTATGTTTGCCAAGACGTCGCATCTCGTGCTTACGTATCTTAACAAAGATGGAATCAGAGCATTCGTAGTTTACATAAATACGGGTGAAGAACACTTGATAGTGATCAAGGTTACAAAGGGGGAGGTAAGTGTCTACAACAATGACACTTACATATAGTTAATAAACTCTAATACTAAGACTAGGATAAAAAGGGTAAGAAATCTAATGAGGTCTAAAGGAGAGGTAAGTGTCCATAGCTGAAATTCTGGTATACAGATCTCAGATGTCACAAGAGATATCGAGACATTGATCTCTGCATAACTAAACAAGGACATAACAGAACAGAACAATCTGATATCTCAAAGTCATAATAGTGTAATGACAGATGTTTCAACATCTTCTATAACATGTATTTTAGAGCAAGAGAAAGACTGAAATATTCATAACAGAATGAAAAATAACTCTAAGATATGATGACACAGTTTAGTGTACAACAACACCTACATCTTAGGGCTATCAAGCCAAGAATGAATTCACTATCAGTAATATTAATTCAAAGTTACATTCTCCCATTTACAGCCCCTCACTTAATCCTTACCTGGTGTAACTTCTACCTAAAAATCACCATCTAGACAAGAGAAACTCATATCAATTCCTAAATCACCTCAGTGATATCTAACAATCACAACCTCTAGTGACTGTATCAAACTGTTCAATTGAAAGATACCTGTCCAACACAATATTCAGTCAATACTCATGACTAATACTAATAATTGAATCTGCTTAAAAGCTTCATCCAAGAACAATATATAATTCAATACCTACAGATTTCTGAATATGAAAACTATGTCTACCACAATGTACCAAACATGATACAAAGGGTGACTTACAATACAAGAAAGCCACACGACTCTCAAAACTCTAAACCCTTATTTTTACTTTATGAAAGTCTTAACAAGGAATCCATCTTTTGCTATAGGTATTGGTATTCCTTTTATAGTCTTCAGCAATCCATGAGCTTCAAAATCTCTATCCAATCATTCCTTGATTCATGTTCTGATTGCACCTTAAATCTTGGAGCAGATCTGTAACAACCCTGATGTATCAAACCAAAACGTCGAGTCTTTAAGATAGGACATCTTGTCTGACATGTTATTCTTTACAGATTTCTTCATGTTAGAACATCTTGTTCAACATCATGTTTTACCAAAATTTGGATTGAGATCATCCTTCAATCCGCAACTTTATTATCAAAACCGAACCGAACCAACCCGTTTATTTATAAATATTTTTTTTATTCTTAAAGATTTGTAACACAACATAGATTTCTAACATTTGAATCGAATGAAACACATTATATAATATATAATAAAATTCACCCTTATATCATAATATCATAATATTAAGGGTTAAATATGTTTGTGGTCCTCTTAAATATTTCAAATTTCGTTTTTAGTCCCTCAAAATATTTTCTTTAAAGAATGATCCTCCTAAAATTTTCATCCCCACTTTTGGTTCCTGATACTAAAACAATCGTTAAGTAATAAATCATCGCTAAAATAGTCGTTAATTTTGTCTCTAAGTTGTAAAAACCGTCGCTAAATTATAGGAGAGATTTAAAAGTGTGGATACAAAAATTTAGGTGGACCATTCCTAAAAAAAATGATTTGAGAGACTAAAAATAAAATTTAAATATTTACAAAAACCACAAATATATTTAACCCTAATATTAATAATAGTAATAAATTCCACAAAACATCATAAATATAACACCCTATAAGCTAATATGATAAAAAGTAAATAAGCAACACAATTTAGTATTAAATTACATTAGTGGAATATTAATCTAGTAAATTTATCGGATGAATGCAAAATTAGAAAAAAAGAATAGTTTGTAGTTATATATTAATTTTCTATTAATTGTAGTTATTGTTTAAAATAATGAATGAAAAATTAGAGAAAAGGAATAATTTGTAGTTATATATTAATTTTCTATTAATTTCGTTTCTTATATAATGAATGAAAAAGTAGAGAAAAAGAGTAATTTGTAGCTATGTATTAATTTTAGTTTTTATTATAATAAAAATAATAAATAAATAAATAAATAATCATTAAATTCAATATTTATAAACAAAACCAACCATTGTTTTATTTATTTATTTATTTTTCAGCAGAGGAATATACTAATAATATCTCGTTATTTAAAAAAAAAAAGTCATTATTTCATTCTATTAACTAGGGTAGAACGACATAGTAGCGAAGCGAGCCTCCAAGGGTTTCATTAGGTGTGAGATTATCTTGGGTTTTCCTGGTGATCAATTCTCACTAACCTTAACCACCATTATATACACCACAATCGCTCATCGCCGAACCCTAAAACGGTTGCGTTTTCTCCGTATAAATCCCTTTACCAGAGTGTTCGTCTAGTTCCGGAGGTTCACTGGCCACACACCATGGCTCTACCACTCGGGAAGATCACCATTATCCTTGGTGCAGGTACACACACTCTTCTTCACCTTCGATTTTTCTTCCTTCAATTTTTCAATGTTTCACTTAACCGATGTAAGATTCGTTGTTACGGTGTATGAATTCGTAAAAAAAAATGGAATCTAGGTTATTATGATTGTGTTGAATTTAATATCAAGGTTTTAAAAAACGGTTGTGGTAGCGTACAGGCGTTTTGCTGTTTCGGTCTGTAACACTGATTGCAGCTGTTGCTGTGTGAATTAACATAAAACGGTGAATAACAGTATCTGCACCTGACAAAACTGTTTTGTAGCATCCGTTTTTGAAACCTTGTTTAATATTATGAATTATTATTTGTAATACTTTTGATATGAAAATCGAAATGCATCACTGAAATAGTCACTGACATGATTTGTTTGTGTTTTAGGTATTGTTGGTTCAGTACTGGCTAAAGAAGGTCGATTGCCGGATGTATCTGGTCTCGTATCGGGTGCTTTCAAGGTAAGTTTAATATTTCTGGGAAGGTTTAGGAAACACAGATAAGAGACTATAGGCAGACTTGAATCGGCTTATTTGAGCTTTTTGAGAGAACTTATGAAAATAACTTGTGATTTTGGGTAGATGTTATTTTCAGCTGTTTTTTGTAAGGTTATATATATTAAACAGAAACCTTTTAACTTTAGTTGTACCTTTTGCTATACAAAATAGCTTACACGCAAGTGCTTGTGCTATAAGTTACAAATAAACTATCTATTCAAACGTGGCGTATGTTGTTTCGATAGAACCCAACAATGTCTGCTGATTCATGCCTCAGGCTCCCGATTCTAACTTTCTCTGTTGGCGGTTGTGAACATCATTTCAATTTATGCCGCATATAATAAACATAAAGTTTGGCAATATTCCTGGCGTTATTATTTATTTGTTGTTAGCTCCAAATTCGATTCATATTGTGAGTATAGACGGTTGTCATTTATTGGTGAGAATTAATGTTGCCTGCTCTATAATGATTTTGGACTCTTTCTTTGGCCAGGTTGTTTTTAGGCAACTTCAAAGCACTAGTCCTACACCAACCGTTAAAAATCCACATAATGATGCTTTGCTTGATCAGGTATGCATGACAGTTTTCATTCATTATTGATTAGATTTGATTTTAATAATGAAAATTTCTTAGTACTATTAAGTTGAGTGTCATGCAACCTGCCACACACCATTTAGATCTTTTAAACGTTACATGAGTTTTGAGCATATGCCTATATTATTTACATTTTGTATACTTGTATATGTTTTCAAGAAAAAATGGGGAAGGGGGGAACCTATAAATAATTAACGTGACCTGAATAACTATTTTACAACTATCCCTAGGGGATTTGAACTCAGTCCTTGGTTGCAACTTACGAAGTCAAGCTCTTACCACTTAGCTGAATGTTCTAACATGCTGGGCTGTGTGTGTTGGAACTGCGAATAGTGTTATTTGCATGTGTGGGAAAGTCGAAACAGGTCAAGTCAATGTGCCGTGTATATCTATACAAATTCTTGATTCTTCGGTTTCCCTATTTTTAAGTGGGTACTCTCATATGCGGTTTTGCAAAACTTAGTCCAAGTCAAAACATAAAGCACCGTTTAAACTAATGTTGTAGATTGCACAATTTAGTGGTGTAGCAGAGTGGCCCCTAGCCATTATCCAACATGCATAGGTAAAGTAACGGTCAACAGTGGTGCGATCTCGGCACTGCAGCTGCTGGCTGCTACGGTGATGCCAAATGTGTTGTGTATAACTGCCTAGACCACCACACATGCGTTTGCGTAGAACAATATGACACATCGGATGTGACAATGAAACACAGAAAAGGGTAATCTGGACAGAGAAATATTGTATCTTCACATTAGAAGAAGGAGGTGGGAGGGTGAAGTAGAAGTGAAGAATCACCTTATGAAGGGAGAAGACAACGAGACGTGCTTGAATCACAGCTGTGACAATGTACATTTTGCCAAGTTAAAGCAGAAGGGAGAAGACAAACGCCGGATCCTTAAAAAAAGTTAGGCCTCGAGTACCCCATAGGTTTTAAAAAAAGGAATAGTTTTTAGTATTACTAATAATAAACAAATAATGAAATAATAGTTACATAATCAAATAAAAATTATATTATTTAGTAATACATGACCAAAAATTGAGTAGAAAAAATATAAGCAGTACTATTTACTAATAGCAAAATGATTACTTGTATATATTTAGACTTTAGTATTTAGTGTACAAATAAAAGTATTTGAAGATATGGTTTCAATTTTAACCAATCTGTAGTTGATAGTCAAGGTCGTGTAATTAATACCTGGGCTGATATTATTAACCGTGCTAACCTTGGTATGGAAGTTATGCGTACTAACTATTTAGATTAATCAAATATGAACTTTTTAGATTTATATAATATAAGTTATTTTGATATAAATAGGGCCAGTGTGTATAGAGTAAAAAGGTGATTTTATCTTTATTTTTTCAATAATGATTTTTATTAGTACTTGAAAAATAGAAGTTATTTAAAACTCTTTTGTTATAAATTAAAAGAATAATTTTGATATCTTGTAACTTAAATATTCATTATTAAAGTTTTTGCATGACGTGGAAAATCTAATAGTCTTACTTGAAGAGGTTAAGAGTTGTAAATTTACTTGTTGATCTTGGAAATGGAAATAAATATATATTTGTGAACCTTACTCTTCTTCCATTTGTACTTGAAGCATGTTATTTCTTATTAAACTTGATATGTATCATTTGGAAATGAGGTATGCTAGTTACAGATCTTCTGATATTAGCTGCGTGTTTTTTTCTCACTTTTAATTGATGGAATAAAATCATGACCATTTTCATAGTTTATGCAGAAACTTTAAAGTATTATTTGGTTATTATTACCAATGCTAGCTGTAATGTAGGGTAATTGACAATTCTGCTTATACTTGCGATCTACAGGTTAACAGGCTTCGGCAGGAACTACAACAGCTAATACCAGATAGATCAGTCATTATTGTAAATGGAAGTGGAGCAGGTTATGCTCATCTACTCCCTTTCTCATATTATAGGGCCCTTTTCTTATTCTTCAGGAATTTAGTCAATGCTAACATGTTGCTTACTGACTTTTCAATACTGGATTTTAAACTGTGCCTTGTTTGCATGATTGTGTCCATATTTTTGTCTGAACTATACAATATTTCCTTCTTATCTTTGTGTCATTTTCTGACATTTTTGACAATGTACATCAGGAAGAAAATATGTAACAGTGGTCATTATTGGGGTAGGATGTGGATGCCTTTGGTGGAAGGTATTGCCTCTGTCTTCTCTGAATTGTTGGTTTGAGTAACGGGATGTTGTAGCCATGCCATCCTTGTAGGAAGTTTGTGTGGCCAAAATTTGAATTCAAATGCTTGTGCTTTTAACTGCGTTATTTGCTATATATCACATGATCATTGTTGTGTTCAAATGTTTATTAAATCATGCAAGATATCTGAACTTTTTTCTACGGGTTTCTCTTTCAATTGTATTGAGATTTTGTTCAAGTGTGATCTGTGGCTGTTTGAGTTGTTGTTGTATCTATCTGGTTGGATGAAGCTGTCTAATATTCAATATGATTAGCCAGGCTACTTCGCCCATTCTTTTCCAAGTGTAGCTTTTCTTATTGTCTAATGCAATTCATTTTAAGCTCAACTCTAGTTGCTAGCAATTTTTCATTGTGATTTGGAATGTAATAGTATTTTTGTTACTTGAAGTTGCATATTATTTAGTTAGCACAAGTAAATGAGTTTACTTGTTGAAGCTTTTTAGTATAAGAAAATAACCCTTAAAACTATGACGGATAATCAACAAAATTAATGGCATAACAGTGCATGATATATATATTATGATCATAAACTCTTTGAAGCCTGTTTCCTCTCTATGAAGATGATTGAGTTATATTGCCTTGCTATATTTACAGGGATGGATTCCTAATATGATGTTTGCAACAAGGCGCAGTTTAAATGATGCCTGTACAGGCATAGGTAATCAGCTAGGGAAAGTTTATGAATCAATTGAGGTAATTCTATTTTACTGTTGAATATTTTTTTTCTTAGTTTGCGATAAACCTCATATTGTCTTATCGATGACCTTAAATGATAGCACTTTTTGTTAGCTAGGACATCGATATATCAAGAAGTTTGATGGATTTACACTGTCCACTTAAAATAGTTTTGCACCGACATCCAATAGATGTTCATATTTTGGCCGTGCCCGATTAGTATTTTGAAATAATCCAAAGAAATTAAGATTAAAAAATCTAAAGAAAAATCCTAACTGCATCATTCTCTGCTATGGTCACAGAGAAGCTGAGGGATGTTCACTAAATCAACATTCCTATCAAAATATGTTCTATCCATCTGATTTTTACATTTAAAATTCCAAACCCCTTTTAGTTTTGTTTTTCTCTTCCTATTTTAATTAATTTTTAGTCACGGTGGAGCGTAACTGCAAAGCATTTTGTTTTAAAATTCCTGGGATGCATTTTTAGGTCTTTCTATACATTTGTAGCTTCTGATATAACTCTCAGGTTGGTTCAGATATTTTATTTTTTAAGTTGCATTGTACATACCGAACATACTGTCAAAAAAAATTGTACATACCAAACATATGAACAGACGAAAATAACAAAACAAGATGTGTTCTGGACTTCTGGCTCCAAATCTTGTATTTGAAGGTGGGTTTTCTCTAAGTGGGTTAACGCTTGTGTTTGTCTGACTTTGTGAATGAGGGGGTTCCTGGAATCTGCATCCTCCTTTGATACCTAGGGAAAAGTCTGACAATTGTCTTTTTAACTGTTTGCTTTCTTGTCTCTTAAGCGTTAATGTGGTAAAAAATCTAAACAAGTCTATATATGTATAATGAATAAACAATTATTATTAAAAAACTAAATATGTAAATTATTTGGTTTATAAAATATTGTATCTAATAAATGAAAAATGAAATAGAAAATAAAGCTATTTCTATGAAACAATATAATAAATTGCTTAAACAAAATAAGTTAATATAACATTTAGTCTTAATAGTATTTAACCATTTCATAAATATTAAATGTGTCATGGTATTTGTTGGACAGTTTTCAATGACAATTTGAGTTATTTTTGAGCAAGGTTGGTAGTAGTCTATTCAACTAAACTCTAATTTGACATACACAAGAAAAACCAGTTGATTTATAACCGCATTCAATTGACCTTCCATCTTGATTTATCTGCAAGCTTCTGTGTAATTTTATTTACATGAAAATTTTAGTGCTTTACTGACATTTTCATTTACATTGTAAGATATAATTAATTTTTTGAGGAGTTTCTTTTTAGCTCTGCATTATGTTCAGTTTACTTTTCTTACTTTCTCAAATGTGATGATTGTAGCAAGCCAAGAAGAATATATCTGGAAAAATTAATGGCGTGGAAAAGATAGTGGATGAATCTGCAGTCATTGTAGAAGTTATCGAGGATGATGTGAGTAAAAATGTTTCAAAGCATTTTTGTTTTTGGCTTCTTTGTTATTCAACAATAATAGTATAACTTCTGTTACAGATCAATAAAATGCGAAACGAAACAGAAAAAATAAATGGAGATATGAAGGGTGTTGATACTTTTATCCGAGTTATTGTAAGTCATTTCCAAGAATTCAGTTATTTCATTGAAAAATTTGCTGGATGTCCAACTTTAGCTTGTTTAATTTGCTTCTCAGGAATCTAAAATCAGTGAAATAGAAGGGAATCAGGTATATTCAATCAAACTCTATTCATTATTACATTTATTTAATTACAACCATTTTTGTTATTTGACGGGTCTGATGTTGTTCATACCTGTGGTTTACTTTCTGTTTGTTTAGATTGCGACAAATAAAAAAATCGAGGGAATATGTCGAATTACTGATGATTTGCAGAATGGCACTACACCGGCATATATTCAGGCATGGACACATCATTACAAATGAATTTTTGCTTGGTCTAGCTTGCTTCATAATTTGAATATCAGATTTTTTGTATCACGTTCTTTCTATTTACTTGCTATTTTTTAGTAATATACTTTTAAATTATATAGGCACCCTTATCCAAGCCAACCCTTGAGCTACCACCAGCTTCACCATCTTCCAGCGTAAGCGTTTTCCTTTTGCAGGCCTATTATGCCGTTTTAGAAAAAACTGTATTCCACTTTAGACATAATAGTATTGTTTATTATAAATTAACAGGAAAATTTTAAGTTGAACAGTATATTTAGATTTTATTTGATTATAAGCCAAATAATGATTGCAGATTCCATAAGTTAGACTTTATAATTGTAACTTATTGCTAAGTTATATCTTAATTACATAGGCTCTGCAGTCAGGTCCTTCCAGGCTATATCTTGAGCAGGCTTCTATTACACCAGTAATATCAAGGGTAACTAAATTTCAATTGAAAGCTTTTCCTGCATCCTCTCCACCTTGCTTCAATTATGAGTTTCTAATTTCTTTTACCATTCATTCTCTTATCAGACTGGGTCCGTGCCTCCAATTAGGTCAGCTGATCCACCATCTTCTTCAAATACATCTGACGAGGTTTGCATTATTTCTGATTTACTCTATTCATATAAATCAGGGGCCCCTCTATCATAGTTGTATATTTTAAACCATTGATGAATTTGCCTTGTTTTTTCAGGAAAGCAGTAATATATCGGAGCAGAGAAATTTCTCTAGTAGTGACGGGAATTCTATGAAAACTCCTCCCATAGAAAACAAGATCAATGGATCTAGTGCTGGTGGTTTTTTTGGGATAAGCTTGTCAAGCGTCTATGCTCCATTGCTGAGAACTCGCAGTGCGACCAACTCAGTAATACAGCAAACTCGCTCAACTAGTTGATGATAGTACAAGACCTATTTTTTTTTTTTTTTTATTTCCAGTATATTATAATGAATAGATATTTTTGGGGATGGCGTTCACTGATAAGCGGGGGGCTATTCCGAGATTGTATGCACCATCATACAAGTATGGTATGTAAAAGCCAGTCTTAGTGTCTTATTCGAGAAGCGACTGAGCAGTGAAATTTGCAGACTATTTTTCGATTTCCTTAGATTAGTACTAAAATAAGGGCTTCTTTATTATTTAACCATTGGAAATGCCAGACAAGTTTTATTTTCGGAAACTTTATTCTCCATATTATTGAACACGAAACACAATTTTGTTAAGAATTCTACATGTTCGATTTTTCGAGTCTATCATAGAAGTTATTAATAAGAAATATCTTGAAATTAATGAATTTAATGGAAGCATAATCCTTAATAGAATATTATGATCCATGTGTTTAAGAATAGGCTGGATTGAACTAGGTTTTGTTAATTTTAATTTTAAGTTTAATCTTTTAAAAATTTCAAGGTCTAAATTTTTGACCTTTAGTCTATAATAGAGTTATTTTTAAGTCTGACTCGGTTGAGTTATTTGTTTTACGATTAGTCTATAATAGAGTTATCTAGTTATTTATAAGTTTGAGTCTTAAATTTCAAGGTCTACATTTGACGTTAACTCTCAGTTTGAAATTTCAAGGATTTCAAGGTCTACATTTGACGTTTATCTATAATAAAGTTATTTTTGTCTCAGACATTTTTTCTGACCTTTTTGTTTGATTAGTCTTTTAGTCTATTTAAAATTTTATTTTATTTAAAAAAAAATAAATAAGCAATTAAACTGATGTTTATATAGATTAAAAAATTAAAAGATTAAGAATACTAAGTTTTTTTGCATTGATTTGTTGTTTATCCAGTAGTATAACTTTTATTTATAAAAACTTATGCAGTTTTATTTTTAATTTTGATTTAAAATAAAACATATAATAATAATAACAATAGTTAAATTATTTATATTTATTTAAATATGTTGGGTAAGTTTATAATACTTTTTTCACAAGGTTTAATTTATTTTTAATTAAATAGGGTTACTAAACAACTTAAATTTTATCTTTTAAAAAAAATAATCTGACTTAGTATGTGTAAAATTAAACCGTAGATTTATGTTAATTAATTCGATTTATTGTTACGTTCTGTTAGATGATCTCACATAACGTGAGAAGTCTCACGCATTTTATACTATTTATAAAAACATTCCTTTTGTTAATAAAATTACAATTATATTTTGTTTAATAATTAGGTCTACCGACAAATTGATAATATTTGCATGGCTATATTTTTTTGCCACTTTTTTCTAACATTGTATTTAATAATATGATATATGGAAGCAAGTTTAAAATTTGGCTTTTTTTCCATGGACATGAGCTGTCATTGACTTGTTTTTTTACAATATAATTCATCCCGAGAGTTGTGAAAATGTTAGAAAAAGAGCACTACATTAGATAAAATAGCACCTTAGATTGTTTATAAAATTTATCATCTTCTGCTTGAGTCCGATTAAAAGAGGGAATTGCTTATTGAAGATTTAGTGGTGCTAACGTATGAAATGCAATTTCACACCACAATACTTTGCAAGCGATGATGAATTAGTAAGAAGATGCATTTCTTTAAAAATTACAAAAATATAAAAGTATATCTTCAGACGAATTTTGAGGGTGACGTTTAGCCTGAGCAAGAGACTGTTTAACCACCATGATCAAGTTGTCATTTTTACTTGTAATAGTAGGTTATAATCCGCTATCAATTTTTTTTATAATCTTGATAAGAATATTTTTATTTTTTATTGTTACTTTATAACTCGTATTTTCAATATGCACTCCATCTCAAATAATAATATTTTATAATTTATCTCTAATTTAAAACTTACAGTAATAATAAAAACTTAAGTGTTTCTCCTTTTTCATCGAAGTCTATCTGTTAATCTCAAGGTTGAAGAATCTCCGAAAATTTGAAAACAAAACACAAAAGGTGAAAGTTTGAACAAAGGTATTTGATGTTTGTCTATATATATTTTTATTTTAAGAATCGTAATTTTGTTTAAGAACCCTTTCGTTTTCCGTAAGCATGGTTATGAACGGGACTTATTGAAGATTGAAGATTTATGCTTGCATGTTTGTTATAGTTTTCGTTATCGTTAGGTGTGGTAACGTAATATTTATCGTGTAATAAAAATGTAGATTTTGTTTCTTAGGTTTGGTTAGTCTGGAAAGATATTCGTTTAAGGTTTGTTGACTCCGTTTAACTATGTTTGTGCGTTTTGTTCATTTTGAATATGTTATTTGAACGGATCCAGATGAAATATTATTAAATTTTCAAGGATCCGCAATAGTGAAAGTCATGGCAATCCTACTGAGGTACGTATCGTTAGTTAAATCGTGGATTAGTTAAATCGTGAATTCTACATATTTATAGTTAACATTATGTGTTACCATAGTGTAAAGTAAAAATACAACTTTGATGTTATTATATATATTGAATAGGATTTAGGCGTTATATCTGTTTTAGAAGATGGTAGTTTGTCATCAGAAGAAGATTCCAGAGACAACATCTGCAAGGTTGGGGGTTGCATGTTTGAAGAAGAAACCGTAGTGAATTGTGTCTCTGATATGGAGAAAGTTGATTTCAAAGGAATTAGTTCTAAACAAATAATGCATTATCATTTTCCAGACCGTGAAGTTGTGTTTATGTTTTACAATTGGTATGGATGTATCCATGAATTTGCTGGTAGGAAGAGTAAGATGGTAATGAATGTCAATGGTGAAGTAATTCAACAAACATTTCTCTGCCATAGGGAAAGCGCTAGAGATGACAAGTACAACAATTATTCAGTTAAAAAGCGTGAACATAAACCAACTAGCAGGTGTGACTGTTTGGCAAAAGTGCAAGTACATGTTGACTTCAACATTGAGCGTTGGTATATTAAATTTTTTGATGGTGTTTATAACCATACATTTGCCGATGATAAGTATGAGCAGATGCTTCCTGCACACAGAAAGATGAGCGAATACGACAAATACCAAATTAAGACCATGAGAAAATCGGGCATTCCAACCTTTCGGATTGGTGGATTTTTTGAAAACCAGACAGAAGGATATGGAAAGCTTGGTTACTCTAGGAGAGACATGTACAACAAACTGTTTAAAAAAAAGGGTTCAAAGTAGTCAAATGCCGATGGGGCACTTCATTTCCTAAAGAGAATGTCATATAAGGATGACATGATGTTCTGGAGACACATAGTCAAAGAAGATGGAACGCTTGAACATTTGTTTTGGTGTGACGGTATAGGATGCACAAACTACTCTATTTTTGGAGATGTCTTGGCTTTCGATGCCACATATAGGAAAATAAGATACAATACCCCGCTAGTGATGTTTTCTGGAGTCAATCATCACAATCAGAATATAATATTCGCAAGTGCAACTGTTGGTGATGAAATCGAAGAAAGTTATGTTTGGCTTTTGGAAACATTTTTGGAAGCTATGGGCGGAAAGTATCATGTATACGTTATAACCGACAGTGATTTGGCCATGAGGAATGCAATAAAAAAGGTATTTCCTAATGCTCACCATAGTTTATGTGCCTGACATTTGTTAAGGAACGCCACTAGTAACATTAAGAATAAGAAATTTGTATCCAAGTTTAAGAAATGCATGCTGGAAGATTTAGATGTTGATGAGTTCGAGTCAAAATGGAATGTAATGATCAATGAGTTTCAACAACAAGATAATAGTTGGGTACACGAGTTATATGAAAAGCGGAGTATGTGGGCTACAAGGTTATTTAAATATGAACTTCTTATTTTTACTTTTAAAATACTTTTTTCTTACTTATAACTATTTTTGCAGGATGAATATGGTTATTGTGGATACTTTGTCTGACTTAACAGACTGCTGTAATTTCTAACAAATTCAAACGACGAATCTTTTGAAATCCATCCTGTTAAACATGAGAGGGATATGGATCTCCAAGTGCATAAGAAGGACGTCTGGAGATCTGAAATGCAAAAGAGATTGGATCAACTTGAAAACGAGTTGAAGAAAAATTAAGAATTTAGCCATAATTGTTCTTGTCATACATATCTTTGTAAAAATTTGGTACTGATACCATCATGTGACTTCCTATTTCACCCCTTCTGTACATGGAGGTTTATATTATGCCTGTTTATTAATTAATTTATTTTGTTGTTCCAAAAATGAACACGTGACAAAGGCATTTCAAAATTTTGGTACTAAGCCCAATATGGTATTATGGGTCCTAAAAAAAACAACCAAAATCCTAATATAGGTCCCACCTAACCTTTGAATTCTGGGCCCAAGAAATATAGCGTTTAAACTATTTTGACACCTATCAACTTTTTCTCTGTCACAGATTGCAGAGCAAGAATGGAACATTTTAAGCATCCACATCGATACCACTCAATTTGGTGCTATAAATAGGACCCATTTAATATATTATATTTATTTAGACTTTATATAATTAAAATATTTTTTCCAAATATCCATTATGCATGTAAAATTCTAAAGTGGGTCCTATTAATCTTACATGTCATTTTATTATTGGTTTAAAGAGGGAAAATTTTCTAAAACCTGCCAAGCTACGTGGTTACAGAAAGCAACGATGGCATATTGAAAACACTACAACTTGATTTATATAACAATATTTTCTGACTTGGGTGGCTTTACAAAACTAAGCCATTGTAGCTAATGGTGCTCAGTCAACAAACAAAGGATAACTATTATGGATTGATAAAAAAAATCAACAAAATTTACATAATGTAGTCATAAAAAAAACATTAAAAAAACTACTACTATATCTACATCAAGGTTGCTCATAAAGAGTATGTCACATAGGGTATTATTTGGTTGTTTTTATTTTATCTAATATTTTAATATGGAAAACATTGTGCCAAAAAAACTGATAGACACCCAAACATCCGTTGTTAGGTTTAACCATTCTCTGAGTTCCTCACATTCTTCATAAAGATATGGATGATTATCACCAGAATTGAAGTGCATCATGTGGTTACGTCCATCGTCATCATATACGTTCCATCATACCGGCAACCTGCTCATATGCCAATGCGCAAAACAGGGATCAACTCGGACATAACACTGCAAAAAATATATTTCAACCATAAGTACTTTATAAGGAACTCGGCTAACATGTTGCAAAAAAAAAGTATATTTCAAAAAGATTTAAAATAAAATCGATGTAGCCGGGATACGTGATACGTTACCTCGCGTTTTGTTGTGATCGTGACAAATGAGCCCTAACGTTTGAGTCTTTCAACACTAATAGTGAACACGCTATTACCTTCGTAGTCAAAATGGACCACGTCTCGTATTTCGAGTTCTAAAGTGTTAACTATAACCTGCCAGCCTTTTTGTTTAACCACCGACCCTGTCATGTACATATCACATTCCAACATAAAATGGTTATGACCCAAATCATGGTACACATGCCACTCCTTTTTTAAGTCATTTAGGTTATCATGGGAAAACGACAATGGTACGGCTAACTTGGTCTGTAATAATAAAATTAAAAATCTCTCAACATTAGAATGAACACGGTTAACCAATAAAGTTCAAAAATAAAATTAAATACACTGTTGTATGAAACTTTCACCTGACGCCTCTCGTAAACGTGAGACCAGGATGCTCTGCGAGCTCTGATTTGGGTGGTGGAACACAAAGCCAAAACCACAGTGACTTGTGAGTAGGATTTCGGAGATTAAAATGGAACGACGGGGATTGATATTGCATGTCATTCCTTATTTATAAACTATTAGGGTTTAGGGTTACATAGGTTATAAACTGTATCATTTAAATGGTGTATGTGCTTCAAATGTTACAATTACACTCAAAGGTCATATCAACAATCAATTTCAATGACTTTAATTATTACACTCAAAATCCTTGAGGTTTTCTATAAACGACATGTCACTGATAAGTTAAATCACCCATCAATTGACATTGATAAGTTAAATCACATTAAATTGGGAAAATAATCATGATTTTTACCGGAACCATTTTGTGATACAAAATATTCATGATTTCGGCCGGACCCATCAATTGGCATCAATAGTACATTGGGAAAATAATCAAAAACTAACAAAACAAAGTTACACATTTTTTTCGTAATTAAGAAAAATAAAAGCTACATTCTAACCACTACATTTAAAACTAAGCAAAAAAAAAACAATAAACTTAGAAATGTAGATCCAGATGGAAACAAAACACTTGTGTTCTTTCTTCTACCGGTTGCCACTGTAACAACCCGATTTTTAATAACTGATTAATTGTACTAGTTAGTTGGTTTGTATGGTTTAAGTGAATTATTGGATTTAACTGATTTACTCTATTTGGTAGAATCATGAGTATTTATCAGATGTTTTCTAACCAATATCAAGATGAGATATTTTATGAGAAAATGAATTGACAAATATTTTAAGAGAAGAAATATATTGGAGAGAAATAGAAGGGAAGGATATATATATATATATATATATATATATATATATATATATATATATATATATATATATATATATATATATATATATATATATATATATATATATATATATATATATATATATATATATATATATATATATATATATATATATATATATATATATATATATATATATATATATATATGGGGGAAGAGGAATGACAATGTAAAATAAAAAACATGAAAGGAAAGTGGAGGAAGAAGAGAAAGTAGAAGGAAAAAGAAGGAAAAGCTTGGAAAAGCTCAAGAACGACTTCTAGCTTCCGATTAATCGAGGTAAGAGTGTGAAATATTACTATCTTAATCAATGTGTACGATTATGTATGTGTGTGTTGGATTTGTTGGGGTTTTCTACTCATTTTCCATTTAGGGCAGAAGTTGGTTCAATCGGTAGAGACGATGTTTTATCGGTTAGAATCGAGAATGAACGGAGTAGTTTAGTTGGGTAGTATTGGGCTAAGTCTACTGGGGTTGATTTGTACTGAATCGGTTGGTTTTGTGAGGTTTGGGCTTTTGGACAGCCATGGAAGTTCTGATCTTGCAGGTTCGCCAGGCGAAGCCCAGCGAACGGTAGCGAATCAAGTCAGAACCAAACACCCTGTCTTCGTTGGCAAGTTCGCCAAACGAATGAGTGTGGCGAAGGTTCGCCAGGCGAGTATGCTAGCGAGTAATTCCAGAATAAATCCCAGTGGTATTCGCTGGCATGTTCGCCAGGCGAACGGAGTGGTGAAGGTTCGCCAGAGGCTTCGCCAGGCGAAGGTTAGCGAACACAGCAGCATATTTTCTTTTCTTGTGGTTTCCATTCGTGGATTGATTGTATGGTTTGGTTGCGATCATTCCTTGTCTGAGATGACTAATTATATGTTGTTATGTATGTTGTGGGTAGCCGTATGGCGTGAATCCTAGACTATGAATTGATTGTGAATATGTGGCCTTTTGGCATATGTGATGCATTGTTTAAATTGATTAAAAATGCATGATGGATGTGATTGAGTTTATTGCTGTTTGGCACGATATTTGCAAGTGCATATTGCTTGTATGTGATGGTGGGTGAAGAATGCATGAGATTATATATGCCGAGTGCATGTGTATTGTTTGGTAATGTAAGAAGGATGTTAGAAATATGTATATGTGTTGAGTCGTACTCACTGGGGTAGAATGGCAAGATGTCGTTCCTAGTGGAGTAATCACTGGGGTAGAATAACAGGATGTTATTCCTAGTGAGGTATAGTGTCGTGGTTGTATACACCGAGGTAGAATGACTAAGATGTCGTTCCTGGTGGAATAATTACCGGGGTAGAATAACTGAGATGTTGTTCCTGGTAGGGTATAAGTGATGTACCCATACTCCCAAAAAGGGATTGGTGATTAATTGATGAGCTTTATATGAGCCGTATGGCATAAATATCATTGTTGTATGAAGGATTCTGATGTGTATAAATTATTGAATTGTGAGTTATAAATGTGAATCTAGAATGAAGCGATGTGAGATGAATAATGAACATATATATATATATATATATATATATATATATATATATATATATATATATATATATATATATATATATATATATATATATATATATATATATATATATATATATATATATATATATATATATATATATATATATATATATATATATATATATATATGCATTGTGATATATATATGTTGTGAACGCATTGTAAGAACACAGATTGTTTCTTAGTAATATCTTTATGTTTTGATGATAACTCTTATGAAATTTTGTATTAAAGAATTATATACTCTAAAATTGGTTCATGAATATTTGCTGCAGATAATTAAAGTATATATATATCCAAGAGCAAATTAATCTGAACATAGAACTATGGAAGGCTCTGAAGAGTCAGAATCATCTTATAGAAGAATCTGAGCGCTGTCTGTAGAAGGATCTGAAGCAGAAGCTACAGAAGAATCTGAAGCAGAAGACTCTAATAAGATCTGAAGACTTTGAAGCATTAAAGAACTTTGTATGAGAGTTAAGAAGCTCAGTTTTTCAGAAGACTCTGAGAGTACTACACGCTGCATGTACTGAGGATC